TTAAAGGAATACACGCAGAAAAAATATACAACAGTCCCTTCTGTTACAACTTGGTAACCAGTGGATGAGTAAACATGAATGTGATGGAGAAATTAGCCCGGGTAAATCATGAAACGTCCTGAAGAGGGTAGTGTTTGTTTTAAGGTGGCGCGGCGGCTGGGGGCGAACGGAACTGTGGGAAAATTCTCCTAACTGGGCGCGAGGTACCGAGACGTAAGTCTGAGCGCGCGACGTCAAGTCCACCAACTCAACTAACTCGGAAGTTGAGGCATAACTCGAACTTTCGTCTAACCGTCAGCCCTCTTCTTTTCCCAGAGCCAGCGCGAGTCGGCAGCGCCTCCTTAACGGAGTGCTGGCACTCAGGAGTGGGGAGTGCAAAGGGAGAGGGTCAGAAAGAGCGGTGGGTGGGGTGTAACCTAACCCTTTAGGAGAGAGAGGGAAAAAATCACGTGTTTGGAGATCAAAGGAGATCCGCTTTGTAGAGGAGGGGGAGGAGGGTGAGAACGGGGGAGGGAGGGAGGGAGCGTTTGAGGCAGTGTAATTGACAAGGCTCGCAGTGGCGAAATAAACACGCTCCGGAACAGGCTCGGCTTTTTTTACCGCACAATTCTGACTCGTCGGAAGCATCGCCCGCAGCGCGGCTACACCTGACTCCAGTTCCCATCACCCGATTAATTAATCCGTGTGAAATTATGTCCGGATCGGCGCAGATCCAGCCGGCAAGATGATGGTTTTACCGCGGAGAGGCTCGGCTCGCGTGCCCGACTCCTCGGTGGTCCCGCCGCTGCTCCTCTGGCTGGCCGCCGCGTCTCTCGGCTCCGCTCTGGCCAAGGATACAGCCTTCGTGGAGGTGGTGCTGTTCGAGTCCAGTCCCAATGGAGATTATACCACCTACACCACGGGCTTGCAGGGTCGCTTCTCCAAAGCCGGAGCCACCATCAGCGCGGAGGGGGAGATCGTACAAGTAGGTGGAAAGTGTCTGTTTGTTACCGGGGAACGTGGAGCCGCGCTCCCGGGGCTCCAGCGGCCGGACCCGGGGTGTCATTTGACCACTCCTGAAAACTTTTCCCACAGAGGCTGTGGGGGGGTTGACAAGAGCTGGTGCGTGCGCGTGAGGATGGGACCGAGCCTGCACGCGCATGCGGTCACAAGATGGCTCCTATCTTGTGGAATTCATCCAGGGGGGAACATGCTCTTGCAAGTTGTTTTGTTGATGTCTGCAGCGCACTCCTGCTGCTCCCGGCCACGAACCCGGGCCAGGGCTTGGGAACAAAACCCGAAGCTGGTCAGCTCGCACCGAGCTGGGCTTCTTTCCTAAAAAATAAAAAAATGTCGCAACAGCGCGCGTGCGAAGTTTGTTCTCCTTACGAGCAGCAGAGGACAACTCTTTTAGACTTTTACAGCTAATCTTTGTGTTTTTTAATCATTGAGTTGGCTGAACAAAGCTTAGCCACATGTTGTTGTTCTGCAGCTTTTATTCCCCTAAACGTGTCAAGTGCATTTGGCTGCAGCAGGCCGGGTTTGGATCAGAACATTGTGGGTTCTGTTCCAGTTTATTTGAAGTTTTATGGGCTAATTCCTTCATAATCAGCTTGGCCACCGGCTGTAAAGCTGCAGATTCGGTTCTAGTCCTGTGCCAGAACTTTTAATGATGTTTTTCCTTCATTTAGAAGTAAATTCTGGGTTCTTGCAACCAGTTTTTCTCCCTTTATGATGCATTTTTTTGTCACGAGTTCACCCACACCTTTATGTTGTGCATGCATAGAATGTTTTTGTGATAAATACTGGACATTCAGAGGATGAAATGTTAAATAACTGCTCAAGCTGACATAGAGAATTGTCACTATTCTGTTATTTGTCATCTAAAAGCAGATTTAACTGCATGTGTGCTCTGATTTCACTGAGGGAAGCTGGCTTTGCACAGAACAAGCGTGTTGTGTTGTTGCTTCCATCCTGAGCCCACAGATGCAGGTCTCTCTGACAGTTACCCACCTATCCAGCTGTGCTATGATACTTAATCAGCGTGCACCTCCTCCTGCTCATAACTCTGCAGCATCTTCTCAGTGCACGCCTGCAAATCTGTTTCTCCAACAACAAAAACGAACAAAAGCTGAGAGGAAAGCCGATACGTGGCGATCAGAGGTGGAAATGGGCAGAATGGGCCCTGGTTATACACAGCGATGGTCATTCGGCGCCAACGGCTGCAGTGGCGGACCTCAGCTTTACATCAAAACCCGCAACTATTTAGGTTTGCTTTCTTCACAAACATAGCTGCTGACCACTTGGAGACAGCTTCTGTTTTGTCAGGCTGTAATGAGGGACAGCTTGCCCAACACGGAGCGCTGTCTTTGAGTTTCCCCGAGCGTGCGTCCTTGCCACAGGCTTTTATGAGTCGGGACTGATGGCAAATGACAACCTGGAGAGCATAAATTTAAAAGCCAATCAAATCCGGTCAACGTTCCAGTGAAATTCCTGTGTTTGTTTTAACTCTAGAATTAGTTTGGACCAAGCATTTAGGTTGTTGTTGTTGTTGTTGTTTATTCACTGATTGACGGCGGCCTCCTCAAACTAAACACCTATCTACTTTTTAAAGCTTCTGTTTAGCGATTTTGGGGCTTGACTCGAGTCATTCTGAGGTCCGTAGAGTCCTCTGTGTTTGATCTGCGTGTAGCTGTGGCCAGGCCTCAGCAGGTACGGGTTCTTATGGGGGGGGGGGCACTTGGCACCGATCCTGAATAAAGGTTCAGCCGTGATCACCACATCTACAGTCCCAGCTCTCCTTTTCTAATTCCCCAAAGCTAACAGAGCCTCGGCTGAGTGTGAAAAGCGGCACGCGGCGTCGGGGCCAAAAACAATAAATTATCTCAGCTGTTTCTGCACTTGGAGGTTTTTAGGGTGGGGGTGACGATGATGTAGGTCTGGCCCCGGTGCCAAAACCCCAGGCTCCTTGAGTCGGTCCCCGGATTGCTGCGGCTCCGATCCGTAAATCGTTTGAAAAGGCTGGGTCACGTGTGCGTTGGGGAGAGACTAATCACAACTCTAAAGTTCAGATTTGAAGCAAACCCAGAAGGTTTAGGTTATGAGAGTTTTTAATCCAGAGTAAAGACCAGAACTCCTTCCTGGTGCTCGCTTGATCTGGTCAGAAGGTTCATTTCTTCTTTTGCACTGACGTAGGAGTAGCTGCCTCTAGTTCAAATCCAGTGTGACCTAAACATGTTTAAAGGTGACACAATTATTCCCCATCTGAGCCCATCAGCTGTGACAGCAAAGCCAACAAACACCCCTCCTAGATCATTTCAGCCGGCGGTCCCGCTGCTGTCTCTGTCACAGGCAGCCCTCGGACAGCACCTCTGGTTGGAGCTGGTGTGATGTGCAGTCAGAACGCCATCTGCCGCTCGTCATTCCTGCATCGTCTCCCCGTGGCCGAGTCGTCCATCCCACGAGTTCACATCTGCCCCCGATTCCTGCGCTGGAGAGAAGCGCCGAGGCAGGGACGTGGCACGGGCACGCAGAGCTCCAGATGGATCTCGGTGTCGTCGGCCAGAAGCAGAGGGGATAACTTGGCTCTTCTCTGCTTCCTCTCTGAGAGGACAGAGCTTCCCTTCAATCCAGCGTCAGAAAAGAAGAGGCTACAGTTTTCCCAACGCCCATGAGCCATTCGACCTTTGAACTCCATCTCCATGCATGTGGAGTGCTGCGAGGCCTTTCCCCCCCCCGTTTGGATAAGCAAAGGGAATGTAATGTGGTGGCTTCCAGTCGAGACGGCGATAAATCCTGGAGCTCCTACCTTGCAGTTGGCAGGGATTTTGTCGCGCCTCTTTTAGAATATAATGAGAGATTTAGTGGTTTAAGGCATCCAGCGCGATTTCTCGCCACAGCCCGGAAACCCCAAGAGGCTATAATGGGTCGGGCCCAGACAGTAGGTGCCCGGGCCCGGGCCACTCCCAATGCCAAAGCTGTAGCAGCAGTACACAAACGCTGGCTTAGAACGCTTAAAAGCAACGCTCTCTACTTTTTCCATTTATTGGCTTGATGGTTGCAGCCGTGTTTGAAGTGCTATCGTCTCTAAACCGCCACCCCGCTTCGCTTTCACGTCCCAGCCAAAGTCATTTGAGGCTGCGTTTCTCCCCTTTTCGGGATAGAACAGACTAAACTGTTTTGCTCTTGCTTAACACCCTTTTTCCTGCACACACACTCACCCCCCAGTCTGCTGTGTGTGTGTGTGTGTGTGTGTGAGTCGGCCAGACTTTGCTACGCGACTTATGCTACATGTGAATGAATTTTAAGTGATGTTCACAAACAAGTCGGCTTGCCCGGAGTTACTCCACAAGCAGTGCTCGGTCAGTTCCATGGCTTAAAGTCCGCTGGAGGGTTTTAGCGTCATGATGTGCCTTTGAGCATCGGGACGCTCGAGATGAGCGAGTAAAGTACAGAAGTCTGTGATTTATGACTTAAGCATGAGACTTTTCCTATAAAGTTTGGTCTCAAGGCCGAAACGAGCATCTGCTTAGGGGGGGCGGAAGACGATGCTAAATATAGGCTGTGGAAAGTTGCATGTTTTGTGTGTTTGAGTGCAAAACCTGGAAAAAATAAAGTGCACGATGCAGCAACTTTTTACCAGCTCACCTGCAGGAAATGTGTTCGTGTACCGCTCGACAATCTCTCTGCATTAGGAATGCATCTGGCTTACGTCGGCTGGAGAAAAGGATCGCTTTAAGGGCATTTGCATTTCTGGTGGTTGTTTCCTGTAAGACGCAGCAGCAGCATCGCCTTTTGTTTTAACCTCACGACGTAAAATCCTGCAAACCTTCACTGAGCCAGGAAATCCTTAACTCGCCTCTGGATTCCTGAGTATTTTGTCTAGGGATGCAAATCTTGGAGCAACTCACGATTTGATTCGGTTCCAATTCTCGAGGTGCCGATTCGATTCAGAATCGATTCTCGACATGGACGTAATTTTCCCTTTAGAAGTGAGGGGGACACGGGGGGGGGGGGGGATCTTTACAGTATGCTCTAATGGGAAACAGGCTTCAACACAAACGTTTGTTTTCCGCTTGGTCCCAGAGCTCAACCAGTGTCAATTTAATATAGCGTAATGTTGGTTTTGGATGGTAAAAAGTGCAGGGGTCAAAACTTGACTTTGGAAAAAGTAAGGGGGACATGTCCCCCCTGTCCCCCCCCCAAAATTACGTCCATGATTCTCGATGTAAATTGATTCACAATCAGTATTAACAAAGAGTGTCGGCTCCAGGATGAACTCCATGCTGTAGTTCTTTTTGAAAACACAGAGCAGTTTTGTTTACCTGTTTTCCCGCTAGCGGGAAAACAGGTAAACAAACCTGCTCTGTGTTTTCAAAAAGAACTACAGCATGGAATTAGAGATACGACACAGCAAGAACACACCTAAGAGATCCAGGATGAACTACTTTGTTGTACAAGTTAGTTAAAGCTACGGGACATTTTTATTTGACTTTAAACTGGTCGTGCTCCAAAGATGCTAATTTACAAGGTAAACTAAAGTGATTCTAAAACTGTAAACAGAAACAATCTTTTGACCAAAAGGCAACATTTATTTTTGTTTACCTTGTAAAATATAACAAATCTGTAGTTGCCTAACAGTGGCTTTGAAAGTAATACGGTCAAATACTTTTCAAGTATGTGTAGAAACAAGTTACATGAGTAATCCTGAGTACTCATTTATCAACTTAGAAAATAAATATGAGAATATCTCAGATTTCTGAGTCTGGAAAAAATGACATTCAACTGCCCTCTTAGCAGCAGATTCAAACATAAATCATCTCAATTTATGGGACCACAAAAGTAATCGGAGTACTGACTCGCCTAACAAAGACCAAAAAAGTGCATCTCAGACCTGTAACGTGCCAAATATTTCGGTTCTTGGGATCGATTCTGAATCTTTATAAACAAGAATGGCTCTTTTGATCTTCCCTTCCATTATCCATGTCTCTCCGAGCCTCACAACCAGTCAGCCGACAGCTCCACGCAAAACAAGTGCATGTTGGTACTGGAGGCCCCGGTAGCTATTAGGGTTGTCACGGTAACCGGTGTAGCTGTAAACCCCGGTAAAAAAGTTGACAATAACAATAACCGTCTTGTTTTTAAAAAAAATTCTCGGTGGGTTACCGTGGCTGCGGTGTAGGCGCGGTGACCCTTACCAGCCACCGTATCATCTGCTGAAGTTGCCGGCGGCACATGCGCACTTTGTTGTTTACAACCAAAACTTTCTTGAAGCTAAAGCTGAAATAATGGCCAAAGGAGGAGACTGCAGCGCTCAGGAGGACATTTTTTATCCCTCAAAGAAGACAAAGTGGGAAGTACGGGCATGTTTTGGATATGTGAAGAATGCCGAGGGACAGTTGATAGAAGACGGCTATCCTGTTTGCAGCACGTGCAGAAAAAGTGTCTGTGAAAGGCAGCAACGCTTCAAATCTCATGACACATCTGCGTGACCATCACCCACAACTCTACAGTCAACGCAAGGCAAGCTAACGTTAGCGTTTTAGCTAAAATGCGTGATCCGAGGATTTGGGTTGAGGGAGAATGCAACGAGTCGCTATATAAAGCAGCCGCAGCGCCGCTACCTGCATATAAACCGTGTCGCGGACACCGCCATGTTGAAATGACGCTATGCATTACGGGGCTCCCAGGGGCCGATAAGAGTTGGTCTCTCTCCGAGAATAATTATGAATTTAACAACGATTACTGCCTGATGACATTTTCCCACATCTGCAAAGCTCACTGGAAGGACACAAACCGAGGACAACATTTTCCTGATATAGGGTTTATTACTCAAGTAAGGGTAAAAAAGTATCTGAGTAGAAGGCTACTTGAGTACTGAGTATCATCTGATCTAATATTTTTAAAATGATGACATCAAACAGACAAAAAATAAGAAGTTATGGGCAAATATTGGTATTTTAAAGACTAAAGGGGAAAATGTAAACAAATAAACAACATAATTACAAAATAACACATTTTAGGCTAAATTTAGACACAAACTGAGGACAATATTTCCTGATATACAGGGTTTATTTAGTTTCCTGAAAATGTAACATGTTTCAACAAATACCGCGGTAATACCGAAAACGGGATAATTTTGGTCACAATAACCGTGAGGTTAGATTTTATCACCGTGACAACCCTAGTAGCTATGCTGGTTTCTACTGGACCAAACATCTGAACTGGTCTTTGATGCTCAGTCAACTAGGAACTCGGCTATTTTTCCCTTCTTCATCGTCCGAGTGATTCCTTGTAGAAATCCGTTCCCTCGTGTCCGTTCTCTCTCGATCTGCCATTGATCAGGTGTTTGTCCTTTTGCCGTCTGATTAGGAAACGTTTGGCTCTGCTTCGCCCCGAGGTTACGACTTTCATCCTCCTTTGACACTTGTACACGTTAAACACTCAAACGTTCTCTAGTTGCATCGGAAACTCATCATCTGACGGATGAAGAAGAGTCCCGAGTGGGTTTTGCACTTTTTGAATAGGCTTTGGTGTCTGCTTGTGTTGGATGAGATGGTGCTGAAAGGCCCAGTCCATCCACACAGCCCACATTTTTATCCGCCGACACACACGGCCTGAAAAACAAGGGCAGAGGGGTCGAGGGTTATGAAATGACAATGCTTGCAGTAGCTCATCCAGGCAGAGGCATCCTTTGTTGTCGTCCAGGAATGTGCTGACTAACTCTGGAAGGCCACAACGCCAGCCTCCTCTTTTGTTGGACTTTCTTTTCTTTGCCAGTGAACTAGCATGGCCGCTGTGCATGGAGTTGGTTTCACTTAGAAATCAAAACGCCCGCTCTGAGGGTCTCTTTCATCTTTTTGATCTTCCGTCTGTGGTCCAGTTCTGTTTTTATAAGACCAGAGGTCTTATCACAGAGCTTCCTCGCTCACCCAAGTCCAAGAACACCGGGTTCAAAGTTCTGTCTTTTGTGTACATCATTACATAACAATCAGCCTCTTGCTTTAAAAAAGACTGTTGATGTGGGAGATTTCTGCCCTCGTGTCACTTTGATTCCTGCAAATGTCTTAATATTCAGTAGTGAAAGGTTGGGAGTAGAGGTCGACCGATGTTGGGTTTTTTATTGCCGAAGCGAAGGAGACGTGGTCAGCCGATGTGTACTGCCGTTTTTTAAGGGCCTATTTTCATGGCCGATATCTAGACGTTTTCCACTGTATTTTCATGCTAAAACATCACAAATAACATCCGTTGATCCACGCAACTCTGAGTTTATCCAACTGTGAAATCTTTACTTTGTGCACCGCTCAGTGTTGAAGTCAGACACATAAATAAAGTTAACTTAGAGTGTTTATTATGCAGATGTTATTAATGAACATAAAATACATTCACATAAATTCTGCAACAGCAACGGGCTGCCCGAGGATGTGCCTGACTTTAAATCCCCTTTAGGGTCGTCACGGTGTGAAAATGTAACCTCACGGTTATTGTGACCAAAATTACCACAGTTTTCCGTATTATCGCGGTATTTTTTTAAACGTGTTACATTTTCAGACTACTACATAAACCCTGTATATCAGGAAAATATTGTCCTCAGTTTGTGTCTAAATTTTGCCTAAAATGTGTTATTTTGTAATGATGTTGTTTGTTTGTTTACATTTTCCCCGTTAGTCTTTAAAATACCAATATTTGCCCATAACTTCTTATTTTCTGTCTGTTTGATGTCATCATTTTAAAAATATTACATCAGATGATACTCAGTACTCAAGTAGCCTTCTACTCAGATACTTTTTTACCCTTACTTGAGTAATAAACCCTATATCAGGAAAATATTGTCCTCGGTTTGTGTCCTTCCAGTGAGCTTTGCAGATGTGGGAAAATGTCATCAGGCAGTAATCGTTGTTAAATTCATAATTATATTCGGAGAGAGACCAACTCTTATCGGCCCCTGGGAGCCCCGTAATGCATAGAGTCATTTCAACATGGCGGTGTCCGCGACACGGTTTATATGCAGGTAGCGGCGCTGCGGCTGCTTTATATAGCGACTCGTTGCATTCTCCCTCTACCCAAATCCTCGGATCACGCATTTTAGCTAAAACGCTAACGTTAGCTTGCCTTGCGTTGACTGTAGAGTTGTGGGTGATGGTCACGCAGATGTGTCATGAGATTTGAAGCGTTGCTGCCTTTCACAGACACTTTTTCTGCACGTGCTGCAAACAGGATAGCCGTCTTCTATCAACTGTCCCTCGGCATTCTTCAAATATCAAAAAAATGGGATAATAAATGTCCTGAGCACTGCCGTCTCCTCGTTTGGACATTATTTCAGTTTTAGCTTCAAGAAAGTTTTGGTTGTAAACAACAAAGTGCGCATGCGCCGCCGGCAACTTCAGCAGCTGATACGGTGGCTGGTACCGCAGCCACGGTAACCCACCGAGATAATATATGTTTTAAAAAACAAGACGTTTATTATTATTGTCAACTTTTTTACCGGGGTTTACCGCTACACCGGTTACCGTGACAACCCTATTCCCCTTTACCAAAGACAAATATTGGCCCATGCAGGTGTACCAATATATCGGTCTACTCCTAGTTGGGAGTGTCGTCGACCTTTTGCAAATCAGGGATTTTCTGTTTGGGGGAATTTTCCGTTTTTCCCGTCCCATGGATGGATCCGTTCACCACTCTTGTTGGGGTCGCTAACGGGGGCGTCGGGCTCTCAGATGGAGGTTCCTGCTTCGTTACATCCATCTCTGCTGACCCCAGTTTCTACAGTCTTGTATGTGTCCCTGTAATGAGGGAGATCCTCGGCTTTCACACAGTGGGGCCAGAGGTATGATTGATGGGATTTACTCGGCAGGATGAGAAAAAGCTGGGTTCTCTGCACAGTTTTTTTAACGTCTCCAGAGGAAAGAAATCTTTGCATCTGTCCTCCTCCTCCCTGCTGTTGCTACAAAAGTGCCCCAGATTTTTAGAATGAAAAATTTTCCTTCTTTTTCCGTCGTCCCAGTGTCGGGGGGGCTATACAGGAAGCATGGGGACGTGTGGCTTATTAGATTTTTGTCTTGCTTGCTAAAAGAATATCTTTGCAAATTCAAAACAATACCAGGAGGATTTGAGCGTATCTTCTGCAGTTGCATCCAAGGACATCATAAATCATATTGTGGTTTTGGGGTAAAATATTTTACAGATTCAGTTCCTCTGAGTACAAAAGCTTAGGATAAAACCATTTTTCTTTATAAATCTGTAAACCTACTGCTTTGATGGTAAAAGCCCCCCCCCCCCCCCTAGTTCAGGGAAGGGTTTTCATAAAGCCACCACTGTTCCTCCTGCTGTCCTTCCACTCGATGCCTGTCGGTAGCTGAGGCCACGCTGCTGCCCTCTCCAGCCCTTGAACCCTGGACAGGGAGGGGCCTGCAGGGCTGGGTGAATAGCTGCTGGGAGTCGTGCCGCGGGTGTAAACCACATGAATCAGATGAGCAGATAGGATCAGGCCAGGCGGGGAGGCCTAGGCGGCCACGGTGCTCGGCGCAGCTCCGTGAGCTAACATCAAAGGGAAGAGAGCGAAGGCTGGGCCAAACTCTTCAAAGGCCTCTATGACTAATGCCGGCTCTGATATGCAGCGCTGCAGAACTCAGTGATGATGTAATTGCAGGCCTTGGAGGTAAATTTGTTCCCGTACAAATAAAGGTGGAGGTGTTCCCTTATTGTGTTAGAGGAGAAAAATACCTGGAGTGTTTTTAGGTCGAAGCCAGGAGTAGCTCAGGTGGAAGCGCCCAGTCGGTATGCTAACGTGCACATCCCAGTGGAAGAGCTGACCTGTCTGGAAACATCTGAATCGGGGTGTTTCCGGACTAGCCAGCAGGTGGAACATGGTTGTTATGTGTGCAGGAGTTGCATCCGTATGTCTCGCTAAAATGTGCGCGAGTGCTCGGCTGGTGTTGAGTGAGGTGTGACCACAGATCTCTTCAGAATGTCCTCATGATCATCAGGCAGATAACTCATTGACAGCTCCCATGACAGGGATTCGCTCTCTGCAGGAGTGTCCCCACCACTATAACTCTCTCTTCGTTTGCATGGCTCTAGTTCTGCTCCACATTCAGGGGGTTTATGTTCCTGTTGATGTTCAATTGCCAATAAACACTTGCACTTCTGCTTATTTAAAACTCCAGCTGAGGTTGGCGTTTTAAATTTCTGTATTTTGGATTGAATTCAGAAACGCATTTGCAAAACCGACTTGCTCTTTTGGACAATCGCAGATCAGAGACAAAAACACAGTTCCTATCAAAGCGTCCATACAGGGTTTCCCAGAAACTGGTTGTCTTAGTTTTTGCTTTATCTTTGAATTTTGATTTCTAAAAAGTCAAAAGTGTGAAATAATACCCAAACAAAGCAAGAGATAAAGACCCAAACCGCCACGGCAATTGAGACTGATGCCAAAGCCACGTACCACAGCTGTCTGTTATTATATGCATCATTTCAGCTCATGAATATTTGCAGGACTACTTTACCCATGTCATTATGTTTTATTGGTAACTAAAGCAAGCAATTTCCCTGTAATCAGTCTCTAGGAGCGCTGCACTGTTGAAAGTCGTCAAAGAGCAGATTCACTCAGAAACCATTTTATAGTTGCTTTTGAAAAATGACCAGTCTCTCTGACCCCCAAATTCCACTACCTCCGCTCCGGTCCGCCCCCGCCTTCCGCAGCCGCTCGCTTCCGAACTCAATTTTTACTGGTACCCGCTCTACAACGGCTCCGCTCCGGTGCGGAGACCTGAGGTGGGCAAACAGGCATGCGCGGGATTTTCGAGATCTTGCGATACAGTCCGAGCAATAAACGCGGAAGTTAGATCCAAACACCCGTTGTGTGGGAGAAGCATCGACATGAACTGTTTAATCTGCCCATCATTTGTGTTGAGAGATCAGCAGTGTTTGGATCAACAAAGTGTGACTACTTTGATAGTGGAAACTGTATTCATGGCTTACTTTTGTGCATTTAAAGTTCAGCCGCCATTGATAGTTGTTAAAAGTTGTTAAACCTGTGCATATGAAACAAAAAACGCCTTTTGTTTATTGATTTATTGTGAAAAACGGAAGTTGTGCTTGCTCCTTTTCCTGTTGGGCCGTTGTGATTTCTGTCCATTTACTGCGGAGGTGCTCCGGCGTCCGGCGAAAATAGGATCGATTCTATTTTTGCCGGACGCCGGAACAGAGGGCGGCGCACGGCGCCGCATTGCCGGAACACGGCCGCAGTAGTGAAATTGCTCTGATTGACTACAACGGGACCGATTTTGCTCCGGCGTTCGTGTCGGAGCGGAGCGGAGCGGAGCGGAGCGGAGCGGAGGTAGTGGAATTTGGGGGTGAGTTTAACACGCAGGCAGAATGTAAAAATAGTCTCCTACACCGACCTCCTGCATTAGTTTCTGATAGAAAACAGACGGTGAAACTCTAGGATTAGAAAAACCGGGCAGATCTACGTCACACTGTCACTAACATTCATGTACTCACCCACCTTGGCTCGTGACGGGAAAGGCTGTTGTTGGTTTAGCGTCCAGGAAACAGCAGAGAACGTCTCGGCCAATGGAAGCTAACAGTTAGCATTAGCAACTCCACAACACGGCAAAACTCCTCCAGGCTTGTGTTATTTGTGGAGATAAAACGTTAACGTTTGCTGAGTCACGTTGTTATTAGCCAGTCAGAGGAGAGATGTCCAAATATCAGGAAGTAAGACCCCAAATCCTGCCGTGTTCTGCCACTTCCTCCTCCAGCTGACTTTGGCCCAATACCAATACTCTCACGTCCACACTTGCGCCCTTCAATAGCTCCAGAGGAGTGAGTGAATAAGGCGTTCCGATTATCAAGTGCAGAAGTTGACCCCCCTTTGCACCCTTTGATACGCTCTTTCCCAAAGTCTGCATTGATGTGGAGTTTGGCGAAGGGTATCACCCACAATGCATTGCTGCAGGAGCAAAGGCTCAAGTGTGTTGTTTGTATTTTCTAATGAAAGTCGTTCATTTTAGGACGATTAATTGATGCACTGAATGTTTTTAGACAAGCAAAACAGCGACCAGCATCCCTCGCATGTGCTGTGGTCGATGACGCAGTGCTCCCTGTCTCAATTCGGCAATTATGTGCACACTTGTGTACCACGCGCTCGAAGACTTACTGCACACTTCCTCCAAGTGCACTTCACAGAGGACCGTAGGGTGCAGTGCGACTGTTGGAATTGGACCTTCTACGTCATCAAGCAGCTGCACCAGAGCATTTTTTTCTCTCCAGAGGAGCTTACAAGGCATTCATTCCTACCAAACCACTGCAGATGTATTAAAAATCAGTAAAGTTGAACTTTAAACATGAATTTTGCAAGATAATTTTACCCATGCCATCACATTTTATGTGACTAAAGCAGGGAGGTCTAACGTTGCATTACGTTTCTTGTAGTCGGTTCGTAGGTGCACTGCGCCGCTGGGTGCCGTTTTCAAGTGAAAAGCATAAATGAACCTTCAGTTGAGAAGGGAGAAAGGAAAATCGGACGAATCAGCCGCTGGTGTTGGCTGCAGGGACGTTCTTTGGAAAGACGGAAATTTCAGTGTTTAGAATTTGGAATCCCTGAGATCCAGGTCAGTTTGTCTAATCAGTTTGACATTTTCTGTCTTGCAAAATCGTGTTTGTGTTGTACTCCACCTTTTGAACCCACCTGGGTGATCGCAAAAAGGTTGAGACGATTGCTCCTGTGCAGCTGTGTCCATTTGTTGGCTTTGCTTTAGCTCTTCATGCCACACACACTACAGGTAACAACGGTGGATGACGATAAGGCGCGATCCCAGCCTTCTTCCTTCATAGAGAAAAGCAGAGCAGCATTATTTCTGTCGCTTCACTCCCAATCCGACACCCTCCCGATTCATCCCTCATGTCACACGTCGTCGTCGTGAAAGCTGCACTTTTCATTGTTGGCCATTTTTGAAATGACAAAAGTTATTCTTGGTGACTCTCTGGGCAGTTTGTCCAAACACACTCGTGCTCCCTAATGACGAGTTGTGCTTGGACATGTCAGGCAGTCCAGATTCTCAGGATTCTGTTTTGAGAGAAAGGCGAGATGGAGTGGGAGAGGATGGGAATAAAAAATAAAAAAAAGCTGAGCTAGTGCAGCAGTTTGCTATTTGGTCTGCATCCCACAGGCATGTGACAGAGCCCAACTGTCACCCCGGGATGACATGCATCCCGCAGGCATTTCCAAGTAAACATCTCAAGTGTGTGGCTCTGAGATTTGGACAGTGGCCTTACCGTGCAGTTGAGAGTACAGTTTTTTGCTCTCATTTGATGGATGTTGGGGCTGTTCACCCTGGAGACTTTCTTTCTTAAAATACTTGAAAAGGTACACAAAACATGAGTTTCAGTTTTATTTCCTTTCTATAAACAGGGTATCCGCGGGTCCTTAAAAAGTCTTAAAAAGTCTTAAATTTGCTTTTCCAAATTTAAGGCCTTGAAAATCCTTAAAAATGACAAATAATCCTTTAATACAGTTTCCAAAGGTCTTAAATTACCAAAGACCCAATAAATAAGATTCTTTTATTTCTATAAAATTTTTTTGAATTTCGAGTGTTCAGCATTTTTTGTGTATGATGTTGGCGTAAGCGGAACCGTACACATTCAGTTGGTTGTGAAAGGGGGCTTTTTTTAGATGAGCACATTAGCTGGTTAAGCTAGTGGGAGCTTGCGCCATGGGGAAGTGCAAGTTTAATGGTAACTGGATGGCTAATCACACGTTCTTGACGTGGTTAGCACCGGTTCCAGGCAATAGCTGGAAATTATAGCTTAACTTTAATTTTAAAAAATTGCTTAAATTTGGTCAAAGTGGCCTTAAAAAGGTCTTAAAAAGTCTTAAATTTGGCTCCCTTAAACCTGCAGATACCCTGATAAATGGGTTTTAGTTGCTTTGCGGTCTAAGCTACGCTATCTTGCAGTTTCAAGAGAGAAGCATCAGCAATGTCAAAAATACTTTAGGAATTCAAAGACTGGCCAAATATTAATCTGTTTTTTTCTTCCGTAAGAAGAAGCTTCAGCATTTACAAACCCTGTCAGCTGTCACGTCTTTATCAGGTAAACCAGGCGACCACGCAGGTAAAACCGTAACACCGAACGTCATTTTGAGACATTAAAAGCTTCGTGGGATCATTTTCCACACGTTTTCTCTTCTGACCCACAAAGTAATTTGGACGCTTTGGTCACGTGCACGCCTCATTATAACAGCTTCAATAAATATGTATAAAAGAGTAATTATAGCAAGCTCTTAACTCATTCACTGCCAGCCGTTTCCTGATCAGTAAAGCCCTTCGCTGCCAGCGTTTCTCACCGTTTTTACTGTTTTTTTAAGAGTGACAGAATGTTGCGCGCTAGAATGATGTAGACGCCAAAACAACCAAAACAAAGCGGAGACTCACCTCTTACATCAGGAAGAATCCGCGTGTTTCGAGCGTTATCCGTTCTTTCACAATCCTTTGTTGAATTGTGATCGGCAGAAGCTTTATCGGTTCGCGCATCACTTATTTTTTTACGGGAACGGCCCAAAACGATCTAACATATGGATTTTCTGCTTCCTGATGACGTGACGTGTGACGTATGCGGATGAAGATCGGCTTCAGAGCTGAGATGTTTGTTCTCTTG